GAGACTTACCCTACCAGACCTCAAGACTATTTATATAGCTATAGTAATTGGGAATTTTAGGATTATATCCTTAAATTCTATCTAAAAACAACCTTGTTGGCATTTTAATCAGATCTACCTTAAATTTATAACAGACCTGAAAATTGATTGGAACTTTATAACGCAGCATGTCCCATTCATGAATACTCTCATTTGTCCAGGTTTTTAAAAAATGTCCTCTGTTAATTGTTTATGCTACTGCTAAGTCACTTCAGTCGTGTCCGACTCTGTGCGGCCCCATAGATGGCAGCCCACCAGGCTCCACCGTCCCTGGGATTCTCCTGGCAAGAACACTGGAGTGGGTTGCCATTTCCTTCTCCAGCGCATCAAAGTGAAAAGTGAAAGTGAAGTCTCTCAGTCGTGCCCGACTCTTAGTGACCTCATGGACTGCAGCCTAACAGGATCCTCTGTCCATGGGATTTCCAGGCAAGAGTACTGGAGTGGGGTGCCATTGCCTTCTCTGGTTAATTGTTCGTATTTTCCTCCAAAAAGATTTTGTGTTATCTGTAGATTTTTTTTACTGGGTACCTTAAGTTTCCTTTTCTCTTATAAATGGAATTTTTAAAACTTATTTTTTCCATTTATTGCTCCCACTGTGTAATAGTGCTATTGATATTTCTATTATGAATTTTATACCCAGCAATCTTGTCAAATTCTCATATTAATATTAATGAACAAAATCTAATCAAGTCATGAATTATTATACTATTATACTCTGAAGTATTTGATTTGCTAAAGTTTCATGTCTATATTCTTAATTGAAATTGATCTGTAAGTTTCCCTTTGTAATGTTATTGCTCAGTTTTGTTATCAAGATTCACGTAGTAGGCACTATTTGTTGCCTTCTCAGCCATCACCACGTGCTTCTCATCCCCTTTCTTATAAACACCTTGAATATCTTACCCTTTTTAATCACGGAGGAAAATCTCACATCTTATTGGCTGGAACTAGGTTACATGCCATCCCTAGCTGCAAAGGTGGCCGGGAAATTAAGTATCTTATCTGACATTTTCAACTCATTAAATGCTTAGAAGTGTTTATATTTCTATATGTTGTGGGAGTTCACTTACTGTTTTAGCAATTTCTTACTGTCATGCTTTGAAATCAGCCAATAAGACCTACATGATATCAATTTTCTAGTATTTGAGACTGGTTTCTGGCCTACTTTGTATTCAGTTTTTATATACTTTCATGTGTGTTTGAAAGGCATGTTGGTTCCATGGTCTATTAATAGCCACTAGGTCAAGCTTGTAATTCAGTTGTTCATATCTTCTTTATGCTTGTTATTAATAAGTTGTCTACTTGTTCTATCAGTTTATTAAAGAAGAAGGTTAAAATCTCCCATTATAACTTCAGGGCACTTGTGATTTTGTCAGTGTTGCCATATCTTTGTTGAGCTAGGTTCAGGTTTAGGATTTAACACATTATTGTGATCAGTGATATATTTTGATTTATCATCTGACAAACACAATTTATGTTTTCTATTTACCATACTTTTTTGTAGACTTCTCTTTGTTCTTCCTCTGCCTTCTATTAGACTGGTCGTGCTTTCCAAAACTGTGCATGACCAAAACATATTATTTTACTATTCTTTTAGAGGTTACTTTTACATTTTGAGTAGGCATATTTGCTTTAAATTTTTAAAATTAGTAAGCATGTCTTTCCTCTTTCTAGATAATATATTAGCAACTTATAGCATTTCCTTTTTACTACCCCTACCGATTCAACAGACACGAGTTTGGGTAAACTCTAGGAGTTGGTTAGGGACAGGGAGACCTGGCATGCTGCAGTCCATGGGGTCACAAAGAGTTGGACATGACTGAGCGACTGAACTGAACTGGACATCTGTTATTGTTATCTGAATTATTTAAATTCCATGAGTATATTTCCGATTACTCATTATTCATATATTTGCAACATTCTATGCTTATTCAGATTTGTCCAGATATTTACTATTTCTTCTAGATTCCCCCCTCATTCTTCTTGGTTTCAACTTCCTTTTACTTAAAAATGCAGCCTTTATTAGTACTTTTTGTGGCTACACTGGGTCTTCACTGCTGTGCTTGGGCTTTCTCTAGTTGTAGCAAGCAGGGGCTACTCCTCATTGTGGTGCGTGGGCTTCCCATTGCAGGGGCTTCTCTTGTAGAGCACGGGCTCTGGGACACACCAGCGCACTAGCTGAAGCTTGAGGGCTCAACAGTTGCGACGCACTGGCTCTAGAGCACAGATGGCTCAGTAGTTGTGGTGCATGGGCTTAGCTGCTCCGCAGCATGCGGAATCTTCATGGACCAGAGATCGAACCTGTGTCCCCTGCATTGGAAGGCCGACTCTTATCCACTGTACCACCAGGGGAATCCAGTAGAACTTTTAATTACTTAATTACTTGGTTTCAGTATGCAGAACCTTCGATCTTCATTGAAGCACGTGGGATCTAGTTTTCTGACCAGAAACTGAACCTGGGCCCCCTGCACTGGGAGCAGAGACTCAGCCGCCGGACCAGCAGGGAAGTCCTAGTAGTTCTTTTAGTGTGCGTCTCTGAGTAATAACTTTTCTCAGCCTTTGTCAAAAACTTTTTTTTTGCATGATTCTTGATCACAATGCCCCGTTTACAGGCACTGACGCCTCATGTCCTGTCCCTTTACGGGAGGTAAAGGATCTGCCTGCAACGTGGGAGACCCAGGCTCAGTCCTTGGGTCGGGAAGATCCCAAGAGAAGGTAACGGCTACTCACTCTAGTATTCTTGCCTGGGAAATCCTATGGACAGAAGAGCCTGGTGAGCTACAGTCCATGGGGTCACAAAGAGTCGGATATGACTAAGCAACTAACACTATGGGCATGACACCCCCAACCCCTAGATGGCAGGGCCCACACTCAGTTCTGACATCCCCCAGCTTCCCTGGCATTAGCTCATCTGCTTCCCACTCCTGTTAAGAGTCTCCTCTTTATTTCTAGTATCTGAGGATTTCCCTTTCTTTGGTTTGAATTCAGTTTTATATTGTTATATTTCATCCTCTATTTGTCATACAAGGTGCAGGGGGAAGGTCTATATTACTCTTTTTAGTTATTATTACTGGAAGTCCAGATATTCTATTTATAACAAGTTTCCCTCCTACTAATGCTTATTATTCGCCTTTAAAATAAATGTCATGTATTTTGATAGAGAAAACAGACATGACAGAGACAGCTGGACACCTCTTGTTCTGTTTCAGGAAAAGTTATAAAGTTTTCTAATTTCTTAAATTTGGTACATAGGGAACATTCCCCAGGCAATAACTTGGGAAAATGTAATTGTCTGCTGAGAAATGGAATTTTCTGTAGGTTTGTATCTATTTTCTTGCACTCTCCTCACTTCTCTTTGCTCTACAGAGGTGAGTGATGCTCAATATTTTATTTACACCCTTAGCACCAAGAATGTCAAAGCAGCATATTGAGAAACCGCTCTGTTAAGGAAGCTATTCTCAGACTAGACTTGGAGCTTAGCTACTCCTACAAATCAACAGCTGGTTGCAGGTTGAACAGGTTCCAAATCCTGGGAATTCACAGCTACTAATAGGTGAACAGGATCAATCTCATTTGCATTTCATCATGACTCAGGAATTCCCTGGTACTGCATCCGTGGGCTGATTAAAAGGTGTTGGTTTCATCAGCCCAAGGCCTTCAGTGTCAGGATATTGGCCTGAGAGATTTCCAAACACACTAGTGACAGAACACAAACATTCCCATCAAGAAGAAATAGTCCCCTTCAGCCTGTTGGAGGGTGGAGGTCATGCAAGAATGAGAGACTCCAAATATGGCTCTCTCAGGAACATCTGTCTGTGGTCAAAGCACTAAGAATGGAGAAATATTCACAAGTGTCAGTGGACAAAATGGGGACACAGTCCAACTATTATGCTGGTAGTGCTTTCTGAATAATGAGAAATAGGCCAATAAGGGAGGCCATAGATGGTAGTATTCATGGAGAGGATAGCAAAGACCAGAATGGTCACACACTGGTTCACTGTTAGTTTTAAGAAAATATACCCCATATGGCATGTGACTACAAATGTTCTGACCCAGAAAAGTAAAAGGAAGAAAATGACCTAGAGGGGGGTGTAAGGTAGGGAGAAGATCAGACAAGCCCCAATAATCAATTCTGTCGTTAGTAATAAGAAAACAGAAAAGATTAAAAAGTGTATTTTGCGAAACAGAAATGGCAGTCCTGATCAATGCTGGTTGATCATCCTTGAATTTTTACCCTTCTAAAGGAGGGATGACATCCTTCACCTTGGGAAGAATGGAATTATTACTGAAAGTCCAGATATCCTATTTATAACAAATTTCCCTCTTACTAATGTTTATTACTCTCCATTAAGATAAATATGAATATTTTGATAGAGAAAACAGACATGACTGAGACAGCTGGCCACTTCTTGTTCTGCTGCAGGAAAAGTTATAAAGTTTCTCAAGTGGTTGAGAAATAGAAAACACCTGCATACTGTATCTCGCTTTGGTCACAGGTGACTGTTAGTTTTGTCAATTCCCTTTGGGGACACTTGAGTGGTCACCTGACTGGAAGTGGAAATCTTACTGAGCTAAGACCCCAATGGTACACGACTATCTTCAGCACTTACTTCTCTACAATTTACAGGCAAAGCTGCCTCTTTCCTTCTGCTAATCCCAGAACCAAGGGAGAAGACAAAGTCCTTTAATCCTTAAGATAAGATTTCATCCTAACATGTGGTGGAAGGGTTGCGAATGGTAAGAGGGAAGCTTCTCCTGATGAAGATGCATTTGAGGACTATTTTGCAGAATGCGAGGGAAGCAACTAGACTGGTGGTTTTGGAGGGCGGATATAGAGACTTTCTAAATCAGCTTTTCATCCCAGACAGTCACAGCCTCTACTGGGAGCCGTGAGGCCAGGTGGGAGGGATTCCTGGGCAGGGAGGGCACCTGGAGGTGGAGGGCCAGCTGCCAGGACTTACCTGTTGAGATATACTCGCTTCTCTGTGAACTGCCCATTGCCATGGTGAGGGTCCTCGAAGGGCTCATTCTGGACGACCTCCACCCCTTCTCCTCGGTCACTCTGTTCGTGGCTGTGCTTGCTGATCATGTACAGCTGTCCAATTCTGTACTACAAAACACACGGATGCAGACAGGTCAGCCCCACCACTCATTTTTAAAAACAACCCCTCCCAATGACGGTGCTGCAAGCAACTCATGGCATCAGCACTTTCTGTTGAGAAAAGAAAGCAGGCACGTGGGCCTGATGTTATTTTTCCTCAGGAGTAAGGAGGAGAACTAACTGTGAGTAGAATGCAGAAACGGCTTGTTCCTGTGACCATTCTGCATCACCTTGGCGAATGTTCACCAGGGGGCTGATGGTCTTCAAGGTTTGGCAGCCAATCAACCAACCCATGGTTAGCAGCAGGGAGGTGGGCACGCTGGAATCTCCCTTTTTACACTGGCCTTACAGGGTTAAGTGGAGCTAAATTCCTATTTTGCCTGGCACAAGACAGACCAGAGTGTGTTATTTCTGTCTACTCTTTCTGCCTAATTAACTGCATTGCTGGGCACAGAGGATTAGATGTCACCTGTTTCTTTTGTTGCCTCTCTCAAAGTGTTAAAACTCTCCTGGAGGTCTCTGTCCCCTAGAATAGTGGTTCTCAAAGCTGGATGGACATTAGAATGACCTGGAAGCTTAAAAATATCTCCAGATGCCCAGAATCCCCCTTGAGTGGAAACTGTGAACCCACCATTAGGCTGGTCCACAAGGGAGAAAATCTATACAGTATAAATCCTTTTCAACCAATTCCACTAACAGTGTGTGGCCTTCTAGCCTGAGGGCCCTGAAGCCACATGTGCTTACATGAAAATGATAAAACAGAATAACACGTAATGTGAATATTTTCCATGCTGTCTGCTGTTTTGAATTGTTCCAGTCTCTTTCTTGCCTCTCTGAAAACCCTGGAGCCAGCATGCATCTCTTCACCCAGTGAACTTCCCAAGTAACAAAAACTAATTTAATGGAGGGGAAAAGAAGAGAAAGAGAGAGAGGCAAAGGAGGGAGTGAAACAACTTATGCATGAAGGAAGTCTGCTCAGAATCAGAAGGCAAGGTGATGAGACCCTGCTGTGGTCCTTCCTGCAGATTCGGTGTGAAACGACACAGTGTCAGCACCATCAAGGCCCATGGATGCGGGGAAGGGACCTGAGTCTGCAGCGAGCTAATGATGGCTCTGGGTTATTCCCAAAGAGCCAAGGTCAACAGGGATGCAGGTCTCCTGTCTATGTGCATAAAAGAAATAGATTTTAAATTAAGGGGGCAAGGTGAAATGTACAAATCAACAGTACAGTCAGTTCTAAAGCTGAGAGGACTCACCTGTCTGAAGGTCCCTGTTTCACTCTGAGGCAGGTGCAGGGAGGGGAGTGTGGAGAGAATGAGAAAGGCTCTGCTGTGAGGTCAGCCCAAGGGACCAGGCGCAGTCACCATGACAATGGAAAGAGCCGTCAGAGTCTGGCTCTTCTCAAAGGGCAGAGCTTCCTGTCTGTGCCACACTCCTCCCCAGAAGGGTCTGTATTTAAGATGCTTTTAATGCATCTATGTCTGTGCTGAGGATGAAGGGAGTGAGAGGAGAAAGGAAATCAAAGATAAAATTTATTTTTAAACACATTTTGGGATTAGAACCTTGTCTTGGCTTCCCCTTAGTAAATCCTCTTTCCTTTGCTCATAAAGACTAACTAACCCTCTTTCCAGGAGGAAACAGTGAGAAAAAGGTTATAGGCTGGAGATCTGTAAGATACACCTGTGAGATCAACACTCCACCTTATATGGATAGACACACAAGCCTAGAACAGAATGCTCAGCAGCCCAGGGGATGAAGATTTCACTAGAAGTTGCTTTGTACTTGGTGTTCAAAGAAAATATGTTTACTTTCAAAGGAATATTACTCTGCCATAAAAAGGAAGGGGGTACTGATACTGATACTGCTTCATGGGTGTTAATCAGTTGAACAGTGTTTCCCAAAAGTCAAATGTAAGTCCCAGTACTTCAGAATATGACCTTATTTGGAGACAGGCTCCTTACAGAGGCAATCAAATTAAAATGAGGTCACTGGGATGGGCACTAATCCAACAGCGCTGGTTTCCTCATGTGTGTGCTAAGTTGCTTCAGTCGTGCCTGACTCTTTGCGACCCTATGGACTGTAGCCTGGCAGGCTCCACTGTCCATGGGATTCTCCAGACAAGAGTACTGGAGTGGGCTACTATTTCCTCCTTCAGGAGCTCTTCCTGACCCAGGGGTTGGACCCAGGTCTCTTACGTTTCCTGCATTGGCAGATGGGTTCTTTACCACAAGATGGACATAGAGACACTCAGGAAAGAAGATGTGGTGAAGTGATGCAGGAGGCTGGCCATTTACAAGCCAAGGATTGACCCAGAAGAGATCCTTCCATCCCAGCCTTCCCAGAGGGAACCAGCCCTGACTACTGACACTTGATCTTTGATTTCCACCATCCACAACTGTCAGCCCTTACAATGCTAGTTTGTTAAGCCACCCATCCTGTGGTGCTTTGCTATGGCAGCCGGAGCCAACCAATACAGTGAGTGTGAGGTTTCCTTCTGAGGTGATGGAAAGTCTGGATCTGGTTAGAGGTGGTGGTTGTACAATGTGGTGAATGTACTAGATGCTGCTGAGTTGACTTTAAAATGGTGAATTCTGTATTATCTCATTTCCACCTTGTGGAAAGGGAATGTTGCTGCCATTCCAGTAAACAATGAATATTTGCCTGCCATCACGCCATCAGCCACTGTAGCCTCTTGACTCCAACCCACAACAAGCCTCAGTGTTGAGCCTTGAGCAGAATTCAGGATGGAGAAGAAAAGGTAACATTCTGTGCTTTGGACACTGGCCCTAGATGAACACCTAAGGAAACATTTCAGAGAACCTAGACTCATGCGCTTCCCATTCATGGGAAGAAAAAAAAAAAGGCACTAAATTCATTACCTTGAGATGTATGGTTTTTTTTGTGACTAGCGTATCTTTTACAGCTACATGGTATTTTTTTTTTTTACTGTTCGACTATGTGGTGTTTTTTTCCCCAGCCAAAACTCCTATATATCCTGGCTCCTCCCTTCTCAGAGCTCTCTCTAGTTCTCAGTAAGCTCCCCAAATACAATTTAACACATCTTTTAGGTTGCGAATTTTTCTTCAATTGACAACTTCAATTTTTTTTAGTGTTGACCCCATTTCTGAAGCGGATACCCTTAAACCAAAATGCTGTCCAGGGCTTTAGTCAGGGGCGGGGATGCAGAAGGGATATCTATTCCTGGGCCATCTCCAGGAGCTCCAACCCACTCACGCATGGAAATGCATGGGACCAAGGACAATGCATGACACAGAAAAGCCATTAGCCAGACTCGAGTCAGCCTGGCTGCGCTCAGCTCAAGTGCTTCCTGCTCTGTGTTGAAAGCAAAGGGCCAAGGCAGCCAGAGGCTGATTCACCGGCAGGCAGAGGAGGGCCTGGCTGCCCAGCCTCATTGATCATTCCAGCGGCTCCTGAATGAGCCATCGCAGGGCAGACACCAGGGTTAGCTCACTAAGATAGTGTCAGCCTGTGGGCGACTGACAGACGCTGGATTCAGTCACGTGGGTGACAGTGCCGGGGGTGGCGGGACACTCAGGCCCAGACACCGAGATGATCAAGGGCTCTGCACCTGTCACTTTCTTTGCTCTCAAGCAAATCAGGTCTGTTCTGCTTGTTCTATCCATCTGAGCTGGGCCATCCTGAAGTAGAGGTTTTATAACACAAATTCACTCAAAGACACATGCATCCAGAAGTTTCTCAACTGGAGGGGACAGGACAAAACAGAGAGTCTTTGAACCATGTCTCAAAATCACCAGAGATACTCCTAAAAATGCTAAATCCTAGGTTAATTCCAGCCCATTTTACACTCACACTGTGAGATATAGGGAGTTTTGGATCTTACTCAAACACAAGCTAAAAGCTGAGAACCACTTCAGCAGAGGGCGAGGTATTCATTCACTTGCTCAGTACCAGATGGAGCCAAGACCAGAAATGTAAAGTGAAGGCTGCAAAATCCATAGACTCAGAAGGATTGTGAAGATGTGAAAGCCAGAGAATCAATAACAGAATTGATGATGACAGTGAAGGGGATGATGATGATGGTGGTGGTGAAAAAGCTTCACTGATTGCCTATCGGTGTGAGGTACCCATTAGGTGCTTTATATTCATTTCTAAGACTCACAAAGATTCAGCCAGTTAGGTATTTACAGATGAGGGATCTGAGACTAGCCTCTGAGAGGCTAGAGACTTTCTCCTGCCATGTGGCTTCCAGGTGGCAGAACTGGGAGCTGAACACCACAGGCCTGAACTCTTCTCCACCCAAGTTCAGCCCTTATTTCGCTAACAGGTGAACTGCTTTAATAAACCTGATCTCACTATGAAGAACAAAGAGGGATGGTTTGGAGCCACTGCCTTTGAACTTCACTATTTCAGAAGATGAACAAAAGTCTGATATCATTCAAAAGATCAAAGATGTTTAAACTGTGTTCACATATGGAATGGCGGAGTAATTATGCTCTAACTTTGTAAAATCTATTGTTATGATTCCAGAGTTTGGGGTAATCATCATTACAGGCAATCACGATTAGAAACAGCTCTGCGCTGCAGGGCTGAGCCTCTGTGTGAGCCATCATCAGAACAGCTACCCCAAATAATTATCTCTGTAGTAAAAAAAAAAAAAAAAACCATCATGGGGATGCAGATCTTTCCCACTTGCACATAGCACTGAACATTTAATAGAGCTGCAGAACTTGAGGGAAGGCAGAGTTGCATAATGTGCCTGGAAAAACCAAGCAGTTTCATCACCTTGTATTTTGCAAATGTGACCACACATGATCAAGGTACTTAATTCAGTTCAGCCTCAAACCCTGATTTTAGAAAAGGTGACCCCCCAAGTCAAAACTCCTGAGTATGTTAAGGGATTATTAAATGACCACCACCAACACCTGAACATCATTCTTGTCAGAGAAAGTTTTGGACCTGAAGAGTTAGGTTCAGCAGAACCCCAAGCTAGGACTGATTTTCACTTAACTGCCCCTTCCCCCAGTTGC